TATAATCACTATGACAAAAATGATTTCTTAAATTCTAACTCTAGTACCTCAAACCACACTTCAGCAAGTGGCATGTTACCAGACAAAAATAAATGGTTAATGACAGGTTCTCAGTTGGTTCATTGATTAGAGTGTGATAAAAATTGAAGGTTGAAGTTGAAAGTTGACCAGTTAGCTGTAAATAGAGTAATCTGCCTGGAGCCCCAAGTTCTCCAGCTGACAACATTCTGTTGTCTACATCTGATGCCTCCAGAGATGAGGCCTCAATAAATTCTTCTATATCTGTCTGCCAGGGGTTGGCAACACCACAGTATATGTTATTAGAGTACCACATGCCAGACTAAAATGTGATTTCAAGATTGTCAATTCACTTTATTATTTGTAGAATACGGAAATTAAAAAATGTAGACACCTTCCTGCATATTAAAATTACAACTACAAGAAAGTTGACTTCAGAATCAGTCTTCAAAGTGATTTTTCTCTGAACTAGTTTCAAATAGTTCTTTTTTTCCAGGTTGAGGACAACATCAAAATCTTTTCACACAACCTGCATGAGTTGAAGAGGTATTAGTAAGCTCAGAGTTAGCCTGAAATAATCAAATAGATTTGGTTTCCCACATCAGCTAATTGGTATGCATTTATTTTCATAAGTTTTTAAATATCAGCTGAACTATTACTTGTCAATGACTTTAGCACCGGTAGAATTTCATGATTTTTGACCTTGTTAAGTAGAAATTCAGGAGTTGGATGAATCATAGAGACTTGGTTTCTTCAATTTTGCTCCTGAAATGTCAGGTTTTCTCATTTGAAAGTTAATTTTCAAAATGTAGTATATAGTTCGGGATCAAAGCCCACCACAGTGGCTATACATCATCAACCAGTGCTGGTGCCATCCTCATACTGTCCTTCACAACGCCGAGGATGGAGTACACCGTCTGTCAGAACTGGGAGAATCTCATAATTGTAGCACACTGAGCGATGACTCCAGGAGATCAGGCTCCAAGGAGAGGATGGGGAGGATGATAGTAAGAGATATTCTGGGTACTGATCATGTCCCTTGGGCTATATTGATGGTGGGAGAAAAAGAGTGCTAGCACCACAGAAAGTCTGGGTGTTTGCACAAAGAATTCATCCCTGAGGAAAGAGTCACCCATCAGACTTTAGGGAGTCACCTTATCGTCCCTCATCTTTCCCAACTCTTTACAAGGCAAAAATTGGGAACTTCTTAAATCAGTCAGCAGTTTGGTCACACGGCTCCCTTACTCTCATAATAGCTATTGGCTTATTTTTCTTACTCATGTTTGAAGAAACCATCACCACTCATTTATGTGCCTAGATTTTACCTGAAAATAAACAGTGACATATTCTCATGGGAAAGGTAGAAGGACGAACTGCAGCTGTTGAACCATGCCTCGATAAATTGGTATTTCTAAATCAGAGTCTCTCTTGGATCCTGTTTAATGCAAGGCACACATTAAGTTTTCTCTTGGTGTCCAAGGTCACAAACATTCAGACATTTGGAGGCAGCCATAGTCCATTCCATGAGAAATGACAGGCCACAATGAGGCCAGCGAGGTCCCTGGGAGTTCACGTCAGGAGCTGAGTACTTCAGGGGTTTCCTTCTTGCTCCTTGAATGACCCCCACAGGGTCTCACAGGCAAGATGGATCTTGCTGAACATTTCCACAGCAGTGTGCTTAGCAGTGGGGTCGGGGAGTGTGGTTTATCACCAGAGCGGATTTTAATTTCATTTTGGATGAAGAGCCTTTTCTTCTTTACCTCTTGAGATATCTGTGAAACAGCCTCTCCCCCCGCCCCCGCCACAGTTTATTTCCTGACTTCAACCTCGAATCAAGGACAAAAAGGAGACTGAGCTGCCTTAAAATAAAACCTTTTCCTTTCTGAAGCAAGGTAGGAGAGTAGGTGGCATGGGAGGGGGACATAGGAAAGGCAGAAAAATGTGACTTTGAATCAATTCACAGTTACCTCAGAAACTGAAGAGGCCTTTCCGTATCTTTACATAACCCCCTGCAAAGCTGTATGTTTTTTTTCCTGCTTTTCTTATCATATGTTTCATTAAATGCCAAAACCCTTCTTTCCCAGTGATCCAATTTTAACATAATTTATTTCAGTTAACCATTTATTAGTGTTTATTATATGCCAGGACTTTACATGTATTATCTCACAATTCTCAAAGTGGTTATATGAGGTAACCACAATTACTGTTCCTCTTTTCACAGACAAGGAGAGAAAGGCACAGGGAGGTTGAATAACTTGCTTAAGATCACTCAGTGAGGAGCTGGCAGAGCCCAGATTTAAAGCCAAGACTTTTTGCCTTCAAGCCTGTACATTTTAAACACCACTCGCACTTTTTCTGCAAACTGATATTCAGACAAGTGGAGGATTCTGCTAAGCAGGAAGGAACTGGTATTTCTCTACCATCAATGGGTGCTGGCCGCTATGCCTGGGGGCTCCCTCCTCAGTCATTCTCCATAATCCTAAATGGTAATTATTACTAGTGTCACCAGTCCCCACCACTAAGTTGACATTCAGAGAAGTTAAGTACCATGCCCAAAGTTACAAATCTAGGCGGTAGCAAAGCCAGCCTTTAAACCTGTGTCTAGCTGACTCCGACACAAAAGAAGGCTGGAGAGACCATAGCCATGTGCTTCCCACAGCAATGTTGCATGAAGTGTGCCCTAGACTCAACTGTCCCTGGAACTGAATGTTGACAATTACTGCCATCCCAAGAATGCTGAGATGTGGGCCTCTGTAATGGAGGTTTAGCAACAGCCCTGCAATGCAGGAATCCCGCCTCTACGCCAGCAGCGCTGACTGTGGCAAAAGAACCACCTGCGACTTACTGGCAGTGGGGAAGAGAGTTAACTGGCCTCTCATAACCCGTACTGAGCCAAACCTAGACCTACAGAGAAGCTCCCGTGTGACTCAGGGCCACTAGCTAATGAAGATGTCACTCGGGTCCTGGAATCTGGGAAGATGAACAACCTTCCCAAGTACTAGAGAAACTCCCAAGAGCAGGTCCTGGTAGCACTTATCTTTGTATGGCCACACTTAAGCTCAGATGAAAGAGTGGAAAGAAAAAAATATCAATAAATTAGAGTAGAAATGGAAACCTGTATTCAGGGTTGGAAGGGAGGGGGCATGGAATAAATAAATGTCCAAACTTGAGACCCAGCTGAGGAATTAGCCTGATGTGAACAATTACGGAAAGCCAGGGGAAAAGTATCCAAATGCTGAGTGTACTGAAGAAGAAAATGGTAGAGTATTAGCGGATTTAAGAGCAAAACAAATGAGCTCAACAGACAAGCTTTGTACGCATAGACGAAGTCCAGAGCCCAGTGCTGACTAGACGATCCCTTCAAGGAATGGTGCTCAGGCCTTCCTCAGGGCAGGGGAGAAACCTCCCAAAGATACTTTAGAAGGCACATATTTTAAGAATTCTAAATTTTACAGTAATGACAACAAAATGAGCCTTGGCTTTGGGAAAAGTTTATTCTAAGGTCCCTAAGTAAAATGGAAGTGGAAACACGGTACAAAACTGAAAAAGATTATCCAAGGCAGAGAGGCTCAAAGAAGCCATGTGCTGAGCTCCTGACTTCACATTTCCAGGGAGTCACTGGGATTATTTTGGAGAGAATTCAATCCAGTCAAGAAAGCATCCTGGAGTGAAACAAAACACAGCTACAAAAAAATGTATGTTGTACTCCCTGTGTAAAGGCTAGCTAGGAGCTTTTGTGTATTTTATTTCATTCCATTTCTGAAACAACCATGAAACAGATATTTTGCAGATGAGGACGAAACTGTGGTGCAAAGAAATCAAGCAACTTTCTGAAAGTCAGACACTAACAAGTGTCAGGGGTAGAATTCAATTCTGGGTCTTTAAACTTCTTAACCAGTATTTTCTCCATTACCTTAGACCTTTCCAAAGTAAAATTGTAACCAATTTGTCTGGCCATAGAGAGCCTAGAATGAAAGGCTGACATTCTGACAGAAGAAAAATCACCATAAAACTAAGCAGACCAGAGAGAGAGAAAACCAAAAGAGTGAAAGAATGACATTGAGCTTTGGAACATTTGCAAATCATGGTATCTTGGGACAAAAAGTATGAATGAAATACTGGTCAAAATAAAAACAGCATTATTACGTTAATAAAATACTATTACACTTAGTCCCCTCAAAACATACAGCTTCTGATTTGTTTTGTTGTGTGTACTTGATGAAGAACTATAAGAAGATAAGACTTTGCAGATTTTAGAGAGAAACTTCTCTTAACATTACTCGGAGTACTTACTTAGACTATAAATGTTAAAATTTACTCTGAGAGTGGTCAATATTTGCCATAGACAATAAATAAACAAAACTGAGCAGAAAAATAATTGTATTAGCTTTCAACTTTTATACAATTCACAAAAATGAGACCATAATAGAGGTTGTGTTTAATTTTGCTACTTATCTATGGTGATAATAATTCTCAACCCCAAATCTTCTTTGAGGTTTTGTGGGGCAAATTTTCCAATTGTTTCTTCCCCTACCAGGAGTAATAAACCTGTCTCACTAACCTCCTATCATTCCTCAATGACATAAGGTAGTAAAAGGTGAAACATTCCTGCACCTGAGGGTCCCGAGGAAAAGGATCTTTTGCTCTTAGAAACAACTGAGTCCATCACCAGCAATGGCTACCACATAGAGAGCCTGAAGGCTGCAAACATTTCAGAAGGAAGAGTTGGGTCTATTGGCCCGTTAGTTCCCAAGTGGAAAGAAGAATGGACAGAAATTCAGGGCTTCATGTTCTAATCTTACCCTCTGTGACTTACTACGTAGGTAACCCTCACCAACGGCTTCCCTTGCTCCTGGATATAGGGTTCTTATCTATAAAATAAAGGACTCCAAATATATCATCGCTGAAGACTCTCTAGCTCTAGGATACTTTGGCACCTGGCTCTGCCTAATAACCTCTTTTGGTTATTTCTTGGCAAGTACCTGTTTCTTGGTCACGGTGCCATCCACAGGGTCCACGTATTCAAAGCTGTCTGTCTTTGCCACACTGTAGACATGGCTCCCCACTGCAAACTGCTGGCCGATGAAGGACTTGTCTGTGACCAGCGCCTCCAGGTCCCTCATGATGTAGTATGTTGTCTTGGGCTCTAGCCCCTCATAGTCGAACCTGGTTGGGGTGGGGCAGGACACAAGATGAACACAAACCTAATTAGAGAATGAGAAAATAAGTGAACCTCTTAAGGTCATCTAATCATTGGTTTTGTTTTCATAGAAGAACCACACAGAAAAGTGCCAACTAGTCTCCCGTCTTCCAACTGGCTCTTAACAATCCACACGCTAGCCAACGCAATCTTGTAAAAATCAAGTCTTGTCACTCCATTCCTTTAAATTCCTCCAAAAGCGCCCATCACATTGAAAACAAGGTTCAAAACCCTAACCACAGTCTCTGCGGCACTGGGGAATCTGGCCCTGCCCACCTCCTCACTTGCCTTTGTCCCACTTTCTCCCTTGTTCCTTATGCTCTAGCCACACAGCCCTTCTCTCCAGTCTTCAGACACAATTCACCCTTGCCTGCCTCTGAGCCTTTGCCCTTGTTGTCTGTCCCTTTACCTAGTATCTTCTTCCCCTGGCTACTCAAAGAGCTGGCCCGTTCTCTTCCTTCAGTTTTCAAACTTGGTGTCACCTCCAGAAAGTGATCTTCTCTGAAGGTCCATCAAAAATAGCTTCCCCCCACTTCTCCCCTCCCTCATTACCCTTTATATTTTCTTTGGTAGTTATCCCAATTTCTATTTACCTTGTTTGTATATTTGTTTATTACAATATTTCTTATCTGTCTTTGCCCACAAAAACTGTAAGCTCCCCAAAGGTAGAATCCTTACCTGTTCTGTTCTCGGCTGGTTCTGGTAAATAGCAAGTGTTTCATAAGTAGTGGAATGGAAGGTAGGAAAAAGGGGAAGATGGAAGGAGAAAGATGAATCAAGAGAGAAAAAGCGAGTTCGACATACCATAAAACTCTTGGAAACTTGGAAGAAATTTCAGCGTTTTTCCATTAAAAAAAAATCCTCTTAGCCAAGATCATCAAATATCACAATGGGGCTGAGGCGTGATTAGAAAAAAAAAAAGTTTAAAAATAACACCTATCTCATTTCTTGTTATGGAGGTTAAATATAATAATGGATACCAAGTATAGTAGTTGGTATCAGACACCAGTGCTTAAAGCTATTAATTAGTTTTATTTTATTCACTACCATAAAGAAACTGTAGGGTCTTTCCAATGTTGGATGGTTTTTGACTTAGATCTAACAGCATAGCCAGAGTGTTCTGTTTAAGAAGCAAGCCCTGGCCTCGGTCAGGTAGCTCAGTTGGTTAGAATGTCGTCCTGATACGCCAAGGTTGTGGATTTAATTCCATATCAGGACCCATATAAAAATCAACCAATGAATGCACAAATAAATGAAACAACAAATTGATGTTTGCTTCTATCTATCTGTCTATCTATCTATCTATCTATCTATCTATCTATCTATCTATCCATCCATCCATCCATCCATTCTATCTCCCTTCCTCTCTGTCTCTGAAATCAAGAAGAAGGAGAAGGAAGAGGAGGAGGAGAAGAAGAAGAAAAGAAGAAGCAGCAGCAGCAAGCCCTTAGAAGGGCAGCTGTGCTCAAGTGACAGTGTTGGGACCTCACATTTGGGCTCCCTGTAACACAGAGAAAGAATGAGTTTTCAGAGTGAAATGAAAGAAGGAAGATCAGAATAGTTGTTTCTACTTTTTCCACCCAACATATTTTAAGTAAGTATCAGGATATTAGCCAAAATGGAGAACATGAAATAATATCATGTCTAGCAATATGTCCCCTGCACCTTTATCCATGTCTTTTATTTTCTCTCTCCTGCACAAGGTGTGTCTTCCCCAGCACTGGTGTCTGATGCCAACTACTGTACTTGGTATCCATTATTATATTTAACCTCCATAACAAGAAATGAGATAGGTGTTATTTTTAAACTTTTTTTTTCTAATCACGCCTCAGCCCCATTGTGATATTTGATGATCTTAGCTAAGAGGATTCTTTTTAAATGGAAAAATGCTGATACTTCTTCCAAGTTTCCAAGTTCCAACAAAACAAGAGAGAACTCAGAAAATTCTTTCTCATCAGTGTATGCATTCGGAGCCCAGATTCTCTTTAAACGTAGTCTTTTGGGGAAAGTAAAGACCCAGCCACGTAGAAAGGGGTCGGATGATGGGAAAAGGGAGTCTAGTAGGAGATAAAGAAGCACTGAAAGTGACTGAGAAACTGAGAACACCCACTAATGTAACAGGTCACATTCGGTCTGTGGCTGAAGCCATTAGACCAGCCTGCCCAAATGTTCATCTTCCTACACAAGCAGGTCCTGGCACTACCTTCCCCTTGCTACAACCCCCTCTGATGACCAACACCACCAACACCAACATGTTCAAGGGAAGAAACCTTGAAATGGAGAACTTCTGGGGTCCACTCATGTAAGGAAAATCATCTGGGTTCTCAGATACCACTTCAGGCCCCATGTTAGCTAAATCAAATTTGTTTCATTATTTCCTCTCCACTAAAAAAGTAGGCTAGAAATAATTTTATTTCACAAGCACCTTTTAATCTGCATTTGCTGGAGGCTGAAGAAAATGCCATTCTACCTTTCTCTCCTCCCCCTTATCTCTGTGATCTTTTGGACAGAAATCTGAAACATGAAACAATGTCCAAGAAGAATTCAAATCTCCTCTGCATTATATTCTCTAATATGGTATTTGTTATGAAAAAAGTAATTATCATGCAAGCTATTGGCCACAAAAAGTGAACTATATTATAAATACACTTATCATAACACCACGTCTTCAAAACACTGACAGAAAGCTAGACAGCCATTCCACAAATTATGAGCAGCACATCCCTGAGTCAGAGTGATCTCATTAAGCCAGACATTAGCAATCAATATATTTTATCAGGTTGGATTTTTAAAAACAACTTTATTCAATGGAAGGATTTGCTGTGCCAGTTAGCCCCTTTTTCAGTATGCCAAAAAAGCCCACAAGAAGCAGGATTTTTTTTGGCACTCATTAGAAATACTAGTGGGTCAAACAAGTTCCCACCTGCTCTGAGAGTCCTTATTCTATGATACAGTGCATAACTGGAGGTAGTTTGCAGGAAACCACATCCTCAGCCTTCTTGAGTGAACAGGCACCAAGAATATTACGGTGCTGTTGACATTTGCCAGACCATTGCAGTCTCTTTCATTTTAATGATTACAATCACAGGCTCCCTTATTCTGATATTTATCTAAGTAAATGACCTCTTAAGAAACAATCACCTTATAAGGGAAATCTAAAGCTTTCTTTCTGTCCTCAAGCTCTTGAAACACAACCAAACATCTAAAGTAGTTAACTATTTATAAGCAAAGCAAATGAGCCACAATCTGCTTTTAATATACAGAGAGCCTCTAAGACTATCCAAGGATTCCCTTGCCCCAGTCCCGTATTCCTTCCTGACATCCTTTCCTACCACTGTTCCCCTAAACCATGGCTTGGTACTAGGGACATACACCTAGCAGGCAACCACACAGCCAGAAGACTCTGTCCCCTCACTTACTTCAACAACAGGAAAGTGGTAGAGATCCCCCCACCCTAAGCTCATTGCCACTGACCTTTTCCCTTCCTCCTTCCTAGGGTAATAGTTCCCTTTTCTGTACCTCCTTTTATGGGGGTAAACTTTAGCAAACTCTGGGGCTTCTGAATCATGTAGCCCTGTCAGACAGCACCAGCTCAGCCACCTTGGGCATGGTCTGGACCATTAGTGGGGAGGCAAGACAAATGTGGGGAGAGGATTACAAAAGTACCCTGACCTGTCACAGCTTCTGTCTCTGCCCCTCTTTCTAGATAACTATGGGTGGAGAACCAACAAGAAAAGCCCCTGGTTTGATTGCACAGCCCTACAAAAACCAAAGAACCTCTCAAGGCTCTGCAGTTCAGATCCCCCCCTTGAGATGGCTGCCCACCATATAGGCACAGAGGGATGTGGCTGGGAGAGGGGAAATGCGTGCGCTCCTGTTTGGAAGTCCTTGACACCATCCCCAACCACTGATCAGCGATTAACCAGCTTCGTCCTCTGTGCCTCAGATCCTCCTGAAAGATGCCTCCTTCTCAAGATTCTAGTCCACCAGCTTTACAAACCTTCTCTAGCAGTAATACCCCAGGATCCATACAGAGACCTTCGCTCTTCTCACCTGCAATAGTAGTGACGGCCAAATTTGGCCCAGTGATCCCGGACAATTTCCTCCACACTCTGCTTCCGGGCAGCGATAATGGAGAGCCAGACTAAGACAGCCCAAAGGCCATCTTTCTCCCGGAGGTGATCGGAGCCTAGGGGAGAAAGAAATATTCTGCTTAGGATTTGTTCCTGGGGAGAATTAAAAGCTAAATGAACTGCGAAGACCAGTTAGCAATTGTCGCATTGAAATGGCTAGATATATTTATTCATTGTGTTGAATATATGCCCCATAATATACTTACATTTCCAAAAACATATAACTGAAATTCAAATAACATAAGATAATATGAAATAAATAAAATAAAGTCCTGTGAATTGTTGCAAGGAGCCAAATTGACAGCACACTTGCTGAATGGTATCATTCATTCAGTGAATAGTTGGTGATTTCTACCCTACATTGGTCTAGACAGTTAGGACTCAGCAGTGATACCCATAAATCTTGAGTTCAAGTAGGTGGAGACAGGTAACTACAGAAAAGTAGACAAATTAAAGAACAAGATGCATCAAATAAGGCCAAGCACTAAGAAAATAATTAACTAGGTGATGATGCCACAGAGTGTGACAGCAGCTAAGACTGCTTTGTCTATAATATAGTTTACCTATAGTAGGGTTTAATGGTGCCCCCCCAAAGATATGTCCACCCAGAACTTGTGAATGTGATGTTATTTGGAGAAACAGTCTTATAAATATAATTAAGTTAAGGACCTTAGAGGAAATCATCCTGAATTACCCAAGTGGGTTCTAAATCCAATGACAATTATTCTTAGAAGAGGAGGAGACACAGACAGAAGGCACAGAGATAGGCCAAGACAGGGGTTATGCTGTCACAAGCTAAAGAATGCACGAAGCCACCAGAAATTGAAAGAGGCCAGGACAACTTCTTCCCTAGGGTCTTCAGAGGGAGCACGGCCCTACCAACACCTCGATTTGGGACCTCTGGCCTCCAGAACTATGAGAGAATAATACATTTCTGTTGTTTTAAGCCACCCATTTCGTGGTAATTATTCTGGAATCCTTAGGAAACTAGTATAGGTAGTTAGGGTCAGCGCCTCTGAAGGGATGACATCTGAGCTCATGCCTGGGAAGTCAGCCATGCCATGGCCTCAGGACAAAGCATTCCAAGCAGAGGGACAGCAACCATGACATCCTTAAAGCAGAAATAAACGGCGAAGCTTATCCCTACAGCTATTTCCATAGAAAGAGATGCAGTTCACATTGTGGCATTCATATGAATGAGTGCAGTCTAAACAGGTAGCTCCCTGTACAAAAAGAACCCAGAAGTATGTGTTGCAGGCTCATTTAAGTATCTGTGTATTGGCCAATTATAAGCTCTCTCTGATGTGAATAAAGCCGTGAATACAAAGGAATACGCTATAGTGTGGAAACATAGTATAATGGGGAGGCATGGGGAAGGCTCTGGAATTAGGGTTTTAAACCAAACTCTGCTGCTTCCCAGGTATGAGGAGTTATTGCAAAGATGATAATCTTTCTGAGCCCCAACTTCTCATCTGTAAAATGGGGACACCATAACCAAGCTTGTGGGGTTGCCATATCAATATAATCACGTTCAGAGGACAGGCTCTTGAGTCAAAGTGTTCATGTTCCAATTCTGGCTAAGCTACTTGCCTTTCTGTGACTTGCTGTCCTCACCTGCAACGTAGGGACCATAATAGCCTCTACCCCACGGGGCTACCGTCGGGATGAAGTGACTAAGTATATACCTAGGTATTTAGAACAGTGACTGGGATGTCACAAGTAGTTGCTATTGCTGTTGATCTTGTTGTTGGCAATTCACATAAAGCACCAATATGGTGCTGATTCCTCAATACACACTTTGATGCAAATTGGTCTCAATTATTCATACAATTTTATCCTCTGTCCCTAACAATAGCAATATCTTAGGAAGGAAACTGGGACCAGGGGAAGTGGACCATTTCTTCTTGCAACAGAGCAATCAGAGTAGACAACAGTTCTCTTGGGTTCCAGGGCTATGAAACATACAGAGAAAAAAGAAAACCTGATGTCACAGAGCTGTTTAAACCCTGCAAAGGCTGGAACAATGCCTTAGTTAAGTTAAGCACCTTTGATAACGTCTCAATGAAGCTTACCCTTCCTGTTACAATTAGTGTTAAATGTTAAATGTTTTTCCTCAAAAAGGAAAACATACAACCTTGAGTGGGCAGTGGAGACAGTTAAGAGAGAAAAAGGATATCTTTAGTTCTCCCTACACACTGATCATTGTCTGCTGATGACAGGCCACATGTCTCGTTAAGAGGACTCTGGGTTTTAATCATCACACCATGGAATGACTCTAGGCTCATTCAGTGAACACATTGCTACAAAAATGGAAGAAGTTTGGAAGACGCTGGGTTAGCTCCATGGCCAAATACAAAAAAAAAAAAAAAAAAAAAAATCTAAGAAACTCTGTCCAGTGGAATAATTTTAAAACCTTTTGTCCTTTTATAGCTGAACAATCACTTTTCTTCACTGGTAAGAGAAAAATACCCTTTTGTTCTAAAACATGGGCTTTGCATACCTTGCATCTCCAGCTGGATTACATTACCTGGAAATACAATGATTAGATGCTATTAACTGTGAGATAAGATGTCAAAATTTAGTGGTGAAGACATCAAGTTCTTTTAGCAGGATTTTTTTTTTTTTAAAGCCACAACCATTTGTAGCCAACTGCATAGTAGATTGTGAGTTGGCTTGGATATACTTGCTTACAAGTATACATTTGCCAAGATTCCTAAGGGGCCAATGATCAAGTAAAATTAACTGTGCTCTTTACAGCTCCTTGAGGTGGGAATGGAGACATTGATGATGTTGCAAATACACAGATGTTTCCCCTGGATTCCCACAGTGCACTTTGGAGGGGCTATACACCACACCGTTAACAATGGCTGTCTCTGAAGTGGCAGAATCACAGGTGTTTTTCTTCTGCTGCCTCCGTATTTCCACAATAAACATGTATTATTTTCATAATAAGAAAAATAAAATTTTAAGTCATCAATAGTATAGAAATTCACATTTAAAAACATGAATTCCATTTACCAAGAGCTGGTTGGTGCATTAAAAGGATCAATACCACTTATGATAAACTGAACCTGTTGACCCCATTTCTTAGATTGAACAACTTTTTAGAGTTGTTCCAATAATGATTGGATAGCTTTTTAGAGCATAGAGATTGACTGATCCCTCCCCTCCTTGCGGGGCTCACAGGTCTTAGATTAGGATCAGGGATGTTCTGTAAGGCTTCAGAAAGTCAGGATGGGGAAGGAAGAAGGGCCACACCTGAGCTGTCAATGTTGGCCTTTGGGGAAGCTGGGCTTGGAGGAAGGGTCTGCTTGTCTCACAGAGGGACCCCCGCAGTGAGGACAAAGCCTCAGATTCATATCAAAAGCCCCCACAGACATTTCTACTGTTGCTGACCCCGTGTGGAGAGGGGGTTCACTCAGCCTGTATTTCACCCCATTTTTTCCCAGGCAAAATCCCAGCATTCTGTGAACAGTTAGAGTTGTTTGGGGAAAAAAACAAGTAAGATATTTCTTAACTTCCTCACTTCACATACTCACATCTGCTCTGTCTTTAAAACATGAGATCCCAGAAATAAACTTTTCTCCTGTAGCATTTATCCACATTATTACCAGTAAAATTTTTAAAAGACTATTTTTTAAAGCAGTTTTAGCTCCAAAGCAAAATTGAACAAAAAGTACAAGGAGTTAACATATATTTCCTGTCCCCAGGCAAATACTACCACCTCCACTATCAATGTCCCCCACTAGAGTGGGACATCTGTCATAACTGATGAACCAACACTGACACATCATTATCACCACAAGTCCATGGTTGACATACATTACAGTTCTCTCTTGCTGTTGAACAGTCTATGGGTTTTGACAAATGCGTAATGATATGTATTCATTATTAGAGTACAGAGAACAGTTTTACTGCTCTAAAAATCTTCTGTGTCTGGACTGTTCTTGTCTCTCTTTCTCCTAGCCCCTGGCAACCACTAATCTTTCTACCATTCCTCATAGTTTTGCCTTTTCCAATTATCATATAGTTTAATTCATACCATATGGAGTCTTTTCAGTTTCACGTCTTTCGCTTAGACGTATGCATTTAAAGTTCCTCCATGAATTTTTATGGCTTCATAGCTCATTTCTTTTTAGCACTGAATAACATCAGTATAATTTTTGAAGCTTGCTTCTTCTGGATTCCTGGCTGGTGGCGCAGCCAGAGCTCACCACCTGGCTGAGGACACTGCAAGGAGCTTTGACTTCTGTTCCCAAAGCCTGTAAGTACCACTCTCCTTACCTTCCTCCATCCTGGCCAGCTCTGCCTGAGGCTGAACAGCATAGAGAAGCAGCTGTCCCCACCCCGATACCAGAAGGAAGGTGCTCAGCTCTTGCCTGACATGACTACAGCAAAAATGGGTACAAAAAAAGAGGGACTATTTTTTTCTCATTAGAAAGATCCTTGTTTCCCCTTCTCCCAAATTAGACTTGGAATTCCCTCAAGCTTTAAAACCGTTATTGCTTTGAGCTGGGCAGTACACACCAGTAAGTAGCGTGACCTCACAAAAGAAAAGGGGGAAAATAAAGAGTCCTCCATAGTGTCAGTCATCCATTTGAATTTTCTTCAAATGGAAGGCCCCGCGCGGGCAAATCAGCTCCATCAAACATCATACAGGTTATGAACAGGTCAAGTTGTCCCAGCAGACACGCAGATCAGGAAAGTCTGAATCAGTCGATTAGGAAAATATAAATCATTTTGCACTTGCTGTCGACTCCAAGCTGGAACGCAGGTTGGTGATTCTCAGCTTAGGCTGCACATTAGAATCACCTAAAGAATTTATTAAAAGACACCAATAGCTCAGCAGGAGACCCAGGCATCAGTATTTTTTTTTAAGTTACTTGGGCGATTCTCATAGGCAACCAGGGTTGAAAGCCAATGCTTTATAAGAAGAGCACCCAAAATAGTCCCGTACTGGGGGCAGATTGCCTAGGGGTAGTGAATTACACCTCTTCCTCTTTTCATTCACATTTGATGTTAAAGAAAAGTAGACACTGTCCCTAGTTCAGCAGAT